TAGTGAGACGCGTCCACCACTAGCTTCGAAGTAGGGCTGTCGAGCACGGAACATATCATAAAGCCGATTCAACTTGGCTTGTAGACTGATAGTGATCTCATAGCGATAAAGTGGACTAGTGTAGTACATTATGTCCATTGCAGAACCATTTAGCATATTGCGCAAACTGCGAAGGTTAAGCGGTGTGATTGAATCAACAATGCCGTCATCTAGCTGAAGTGAGCTACGCCACTCAACTGGAAGAAACTCGATCCGTTGGTTGGCCTGATCTAGATCCGGAAAATATACTTTTATCCGATTGCATTGGTTGCGCAGACTTCAAAAGAAAGTTTGTCAAGAAATTAAAGACAATAGGAAAAATAAAGTAAAACATGAATATAATTATATATTTATATATATATATATATATATGTTAATTCAGGATTCAAGTTATCACAAGCAAATAAATAGTGTAAATAAAGATCAGTTAAAGGAAAAGCGATCGATCGGAGATAGCCAAAAAGTGAGACCATGATGGTAAGAAATCGTTAAATTCAGTTATCATCTCTGATACAATAATGTTATAGCTTTTTGTGGCTTACAATCTCTTATGTAGGTTTCCCAAGCTCGAGGTCTTAGCATTCTAACCAAAGCCTTAAAACCTTGCAAACTTCAACTTTCATGGCTCTTCGTATATCTAATGTTTGCAGAAAGCTTTTGATATAGGGAACTTAACCACTAGTAACCCTTATACTTAATTATTCAGTACTTTAAGCGCAAATACAAGCCCTCATTCATTCTATTAGAACGTCAAGTTTAGTGGCAGACACGTGGCTGCTGATCGATAAAAGTAGTCCCAATCAAAAAGTGAGATATGAGATAACTGATTTGTTCTGAAAATCATATATATTGTATAGTTCAATATGGATATGGAAGTTAATTCAGATAAACGTCCAGGGTTCTAATCCCACTGGGAGTGGAAATAAGGCCAAATAAAGAGCGATACTGAAGTTCGCTATGGGTAGTAATAATCCTTTGGGTTGAGTTAGCAGTGAATTTCAAGGCAAAAAATATAAGTTTATTTAATCCTTAATAAAATTTCTACCCATCCAAATAACGTCATAGTATATCCACAAAATAGAGGGGAAAACAATTAGTTTATTATCATAGTGAACCCAATATGGCTACTAAAAAAGAATAGATGCAACATCTAAAGTTGAATAAATATTGTGACAAATACGAAGAAAAGCTGGGTTTCGATGAATCTCCTGAGATAACATTGTTAGAGGGACCTTCATTTCGTATGAAAGTGCATGAAG